CCATTTACTGTAAAAGGTCAACCGCGTCGTTGAGCCTCACAAAACTGAAACAACAGATTAGGTCGACCTAATCCTATGTGAGGTAACCGCAGAAAAGTCCTAATTTTTTTTAATAATATAATCACATTTATCATATTATAGTTTGTTTTTGTGTTTCAGATATAACAAATGAATACTTATAATGTTTTCCTTTTAATTTGCATACTCATGAATCATATAATTCGACATCTCTCAATTCACGCATCATAATAAATTATTCAAACTGGACCCGACTTGTTACGAAACAGGTATGGCTATCAAAATACTGACCCCACTCTGCCATTCCTACCTCTTAGTCACTTGATCTATTGATAGGGGGTGAGCGGTGGGTGGTTTTATGCGGATTTGGAACCACCCACTACGTGAAGGAGAAAATGACCCACCCAACATTACATGTGGATGGGTTGGATTGGGGGATTGCAGATTATGGGTGGTTGGGTGGATTCGGTGGATTTACAACATATATTCCATATGATCACATAATTTTAATAGTTTTAAACTTAAAATGAAAGAAATTTTCAAACTAAATAACGTTTAGTCCATAAATCAGGTGAATCATTTATTTTACAATATTGATATTTGTAATTGTCCACAAATTACAAAATATTCAATTGATAAACATGGTCTAAGCCTGATAATAACCAAGGTTCAAGAAGGCACTAGGCATAACACAAACGTTTTGGTCTTGCCTAGCGCCTCGTTGCCTAGGCGCTGTGAGCGTAAATAGCCTTTTCACCTATAGTTGCAAATTACAATTCCAAATTGATGGATGGAATGAAGGATGAATCGATGGTAGTTTGATATGATGTCATTTTGGTGAAGACAACTATCTTTTTGAGTGCCATTTGTCTACTAGTTATGCTTAAGCCTACCTGTAATTGCCTAAGCACACCTCAAAACACAATCTTTTGATCAAAATTGAGATGTACTTTTGTGATTTTAAGAGTTTCATTTTTCTGTAAAATATGTGTTAGAGCTTCGATGGTTTGAGGTTAAAAAGTTGGGTGGGTCGTTGGTAAACCACAGTCCACCCACACCCACCCAGTCTTTTGTGGGTCACCTATTTTATAATACGCACGCACCCATAGAAACCACCCACATGATGATGGGTGACTCGATCGCGGATACATTTGTTGGTTCAACCACCCAATGCTCATCTCCTAGTTGATCACATGATTCACATCCGAGTCGGAGGAGATGTGTGGTTGCGGCTTATGAATCTAGACTGGGCCCGAGCTAGCACAAGCAATATTGCAGTCAGTTGTCAGATGCCCGAGTCCAACACTTCTTCTCCAAGGTCAGGCCCAAATAAACGGCTGCCACAATAGAGTTCAGCTCCATTACGAACCATTACCAACAGGCAGCCCATTATGTTGGAGGAAAATTAATATTGCTTGGAGATCAAGTAGCTTGCAGATCAAGTTACAATCAATTTGTCTTGATTGATTGATTACTCGATCATAGCCTAAATTTCTTCAATCGAGCACTGCCAAAAATGGAAGAGTGAGTTGTTTGCAACTCATGCCGAGATCACCTTCGATTCACCATCAACAACTATAAAAGGGGCTGCATATGCACAACTCAAAGCAACTTTGTGAGAGAGCGGTAAAGGGCTTCTAAACAAAGAGTTTTAGAGAAGAGGAAGAGGTTTTTTGCTAGTGGCTGATACAAATTCCTGGGTTTGGAATTTGGGTTGTTTCTCATCATTCTTTTTTATTTCTTGTTTTTCCTTTTGATTTAGAGTCGTCAATTGTACCTGTGAGTTGGATCATACAGAAAATAATAAATAGAGTCGTAAGGGTGGACGTAGCCCATTGCACCGGGGTGAACCACGTTAAAAATATCGTGTGTTCTTTAGATTTCTGCAACTTTCTTTTCTTGCTCCGTCCTCCACACCAATACTCTGTTTTCCAAGGACATTGGTCCAAGGAAGAAGACATACGAAGTGTTCTTCCATTTTGGCTTTCTCGACTGGGCTTAACAGTCCTAAGCCCATCTCCATTTTAGTTTTCTATTCTTAGAATTCGTGTGGGCTTTGTGAAGCTACGAGCCCAGACTGAGGGGGAGAAAACAAATGGAAAACACAGAAGGACTTCTCCTTCATTTCGTTCTTCTCCTTTCTTCTCCCTCCCCATTCTTCCCGAATTTCCAATCCCTAGAGTCGCCTCTTCATTTACAATTGGTATCAGAGACGATCCCTTGATTGAGCTACATACTTCCAAGGGAATCGATCATGGGGTCGTCTGTCTTTGGTCATGCATACAATCACCCTCATTTGTTCACAGGAATTAATTATACATCCTGGAAGCGACGAATGGAAACCTTGACTTTATGGTTTTATTTTATGTATTCCTTCCAATCGGGATTCCTAGAATAACATCGGCTTCGAACTCAAAGTGTTCACTTTTCATAGGGCATTTTTTCTGATTCACTTGCTTCTCCGGAGTCGATGAAGCTCTCTGGACAGTGGTCAGTATGTTCCTCTCGAAATGGATATTGCCCAACGATCCACCTAGAATGATGCCCATAAATGGAGCGCCCAACTCAACAAAAGAGCATCGCACATCCTCCACTCTACCATGGCGGCGACCGAGGTGGACAAGATCGAGCACTGCGACACTACTCAAGAGATCTGGATTGCGCTTGAGAAGACGTACGAAGGAACCTCGAACATCACGGAGACACAGATCGATCTCCTAATCCACGAATACAAAACATTCGTCATGAACCCAGGTGAGGACATTCAGTCCATGTATTCTCGCTTTACTATAATCTTAAATAAATTAAAGGGTTTAGGAAAAAATTTTGTGAGTAAGGATGTAAATAGAAAGATCCTTCGTTCCTTTCCTAAGGAATGGTTATCTAAAAGAACTGCAGTTGAAGAGGCTAAAAATCTAAATATCTTACCAGTAGATGAATTAATTGGTTCATTGTTAAGCCATGAGCACGTTGTTAGGCAAGTTCATGGTGAAGATAAGAGGCAGAAGAATCTAGCATTTCGCACTAGAGTGTACCAAGATGAATCTGAATATGATTCACCTCTTGATCTTGATAGGGAAATTGCTTTTCTTAGTAAGCGTCTTCAACAAATAATTGAACATAAGAATGAGCAAAAAGGTTTGGAAACACTTCTTGAAAATCCAACAATAATGATAGAACTCACTCAAGTTTCAAAGATAGGCTGCCCTATAGGCAGACCAGAGATGTGGATGCAAGTACTTCGAATAAGGAACCTCAAGGCTACTATAAGTGTGGTCAGCCATGACTCGCTATGACACAACACCTAACAATGGCCAAGTGTAACCAATGGAAGGGACTGCAGTATAGTGGCTCAAGTGATAAATATCGAATCCACGGGTCTCTAGAGTTACTATTACTCAGCTTCAGTTTATTATTTAGCAAACCAGATTAAGATGAAAGAACTAAAACTACTCTAGCAAACTACAGTTAAAGTTAATCTAATTACAGGTTGGGAACTCACTTAGGTATGATTCCCCCTAGCCACTAGCCAGACTAACGATTGATGATTTCTAACTTGTTTCACTTTCATTCACAATGCGGAGAATCCTTGACTAGACCTTGACTCTCGACTAAAGGAACAAGGCCCTCTTGAGTCAATTGCCTAGAGGGACGTATCCTTCTCTAGAACAACTGATCAAGGCGTTCTGAACTAGACTCCCTCTATCGAAAGAGGTTCTCAATCGATACAAAGCAGTGAATCAACCCTCGACTAAAGCAATCGATCCACTACTATCAATCTATGGTGCTCTATTGACCTAATCAGGTATTCCCTCTCATAGAATCAAAGCACAATCAATAATCTCGACTAAAGCAGAATTGAATCATGAAAACATGCATAGATTGAATATGAACTCAAGATTATCAAGTCAGAGTACTCATACAATCATCCAATCAAACAAACATAGCTAGGGTTCCTCAAAACCTAAGTGAAGGGAAGTTACTCCATAGAGAAGAAAGAGACTGCAGTAAGAATCTTCAGATGATCAGTCTTCAAGTCCGGGCTTGTTCCTCGAGCTTCCAAAGCGAAGAAATCCTCCAATTTCACTCTTAGAATGCCCTCAGATCGCCCTCTCTCTCTTTGGTTCGTCCCTTGGGTGTTTGGGATCCAAAACCCAGCTCTCTCCTTTCCTTTGGCTGAAAATCGGGTTTTAACCATCAATTCCTGACTCACACGGGCAGGCCGCACGGCCGTGCAGCTCACCCAGTTCCCCGTGCGAGTCAAAACGCAGCGTATCGATTAGTTGAATTCCAGGCTTCTTACACGGCCAGAGTCGCACGGCCGTGCAGCTCACCTTGCACGGCCGTGCAGCTCACCTTGCACGGCCGTGCAGCTCACCTTGCACGGCCGTGCAGCTCACCTTGCACGGCCGTGTGGATTTTCTGCTCTGCCCGTGTTTGCTCTCGCACAATCCCACACGGCCAAACTGGTCCCTTGCACGGCCGTGTGGGTTGTGGGTGTGCCCGTGCGACTTCCTTTGTGACTTGCCTCGCGCCCGATCTTCGCCCAATCGACCCCGAACTCGCTCCTAAACCTTCATTCACTTGCCAGGACCTGAAATATCACAAACAAGCACAACCTAGCGTGAAATCGGTCTAAAACACGAGAAACCACATCTCAAACCGTGTAAGAACAGGGGTGAAAACATGTGTAATTAACGGTCTATCAAACTCCCCCACACTTAACCGTTTGCTTGTCCCCAAGCAAACCTAACTCAAACCAATGCAACTCTCCAGACCTCTATAGCAACAAACACCCCAGATCGTAGGTAGAGGACTTCCTAGATCATTTAGCAGCTTACGATGTCAACCGACGCATCAGTCATCTCATAGCTTCTTCGGCGAGAGCACTAGTATCGAGTCGGAATCATGGAAAATAGTGAACAGAGGACAAATGAATTGTGGATGAAGAGATTCTAAAAAACAAAGGATCATGGACTCACATTTTTCAAGGTGCTCTATTTTCTTCTTAAAGATGGTTGGAACCCCTTTTCTTTCTGTTTTGCTTGTTTTCTGTTATTTTTTTTCTTTTTTCAAGGGTCCCAACCTACTCTTACCGGCCATGCCAGGAGCGGATGTCTCGAGCCTCGTGTGGGGGAAAGACATGTAAGGGGGCTGGAGGTAGTAGGTGGAAATTGGAAACGGATTCCCGTCTCCCCTTACACACTTTCGCCCTATTCGCACGGGAGACCTTATTTTTCAACACATTTTCGAGCACCTGTTATTTTCAAAACATGATACAAGAGTCCATGACAGCGAGAGAGTCCACAACACCACACAATTCAAAGGTCCTAAGATCACTAATTCACTCAATCAACCAACACAATATGAAGAAGAAATGAGACTTCTTAAATGCATCAACATCCTCCATAGTGCTACACTACCTCCCTAGGTTGCATATTACTATAAAGACTGTCAATTCAAAGCATACTGAGCAGGCAATTGCACGGAAACACGTACTTGAAGCCCTCAAATTTAAAAATTTGGACAGTGGACTAGGCTCCAAGCACACAAACAGGCAAACGTTCACCCGCATACATAATCGAACATCCCCCCACACTTAAGCACGACATTGTCCTCAATGGAGGAAAGATAAGGAGGGTAGAACGAAGTTACCAGATCAAGGGTGAATTATGATGAACGGGTCAGGCGGTGCATTCCAGAAAGAGAGAGTAAGCAGAACACAAACACCACACAAAATCTCACAAAGGTTGAGTTATTGACTCTAAAATCAAATAGCAAAACTGACTCAACCGAGGAGAAATAGAGAAAGAAATGCAAACCGACTGGTTGGGTTACCTCCCAACAAGCGCTTCTTTCACGTCGTGAGCCGGACGATGGCTCCTAAGTTTCGGTCCATGCTAGAACCTCCTTGAAGTTGAGGTTCTCGTCGATGAGGTGGAGTCTCAAGTCACGAGCATGTGGTGTGGCAGGTGATGAAGGCTCATGTACTTGATGCAGATGAAGTCTCCACCCTCGAGACCTCTTCTTCTCTTCTCTCGTCTCATTGCCCCAAACCAGATATGACAGCATCGATTGGCCACCATCGCGTCCACCAAGAGGGACCGATGTTGATGTGGCCTTGGTCTGGCAAAGAGACACTGCAAATGGGTCCTTGCTAAGTAGTTCCTCGAAGTTTGGTGGAGATACCAAATGTAACTCATGGCCGGTGCAAGCCTCTTCCACCTCAACTTCGTCCTCAGCCTGGATGCCAATTGCTTCTTCAACCTCCCTTCCTTCTTCATGTGGTATCACCCCTGGGAAATGATCAAGAACTCCTCCAGCTTCACTTTCGTCATCCTCCACAACTTCTTTCTGCACCCTTTCTTGCTCTTCTTCTTCTAGAACGGATTGGAGAGCAAGTTGCCAAGAAATTTCTTTCATGAGATCTTCTTGCATCTCCTCACTCATGCTCGCCTCTTCAAAGCTCAGTTTGGGGTGTGGGAAGGTGTGGTCGGCTACGACATGACACTCCTGATCATGATCATCACGGGAGCTCTCCGTGACAACTTCAGTGTGCTCCACAATGTCCTTGTAGCCTTCTTCGTCCTCCTCCTCTTCTTGTATGGTAGCAGAATGGTGATCTGGAGCAGGTTGTGCCAAAGATCGCTCAAGATCATCGACACTCTTCTTAAGGCTCAGGAGGATCTCCTCTGTTTCACGAAAGGCCTGGACACAATGATCCATCCTGGAGCATGATCTCTCCATGAGAAGCCTCAATTCGTAGAGTGGATCTGGCTGTGGAGTGTAGCATGGCTCTGCAGAATGGCCCGTGAAGGCCGCCATGGGTAACTCCAGCTCCAATGGCCCTTCTGGTTGTGGGAGAAATTCTTCTTGGTAATGAGGTTGTTCTTGATATGCCCAGGGGTCCGGTTGTTCTCCGTAGTAAGGGGGTTGGTACTGGAACCCGAATCCATAGTCTTCTCCTCCTTGATTGCTCCAGGGAGTCTCGGGGTAATACCACCCGGATGGTGGTGGATACCCCCAATGATTGGAGAAGCCATTAGGATCCATGATTCAGATCTGCACCAACAAAAACAAAAACACCCAAGTGAAAAGCAAGGGTGGAAAAGAAAAGAAAAACACTAAAGTAACAAACTTCTGCCTTTCCTAATACTCTAGAAAGTCCCCGGCAACGGCGCCAAAAACTTGACTCGCTATGATACAACACCTAACAATGGCCAAGTGTAACCAATGGAAGGGACTGCAGTATAGTGGCTCAAGTGATAAATATCGAATCCACAGGTCTCTAGAGTTACTATTACTCAGCTTCAGTTTATTATTTAGCAAACCAGATTAAGTGAAAGAACTAAAACTACTCTAGCAAACTACAGTTAAAGTTAATCTAATTACAGGTTGAGAACTCACTTAGGTATGATTCCCCCTAGCCACTAGCCAGACTAACGATTGATGATTTCTAACTTGTTTCACTTTCATTCACAATGCGGAGAATCCTTGACTAGACCTTGAGTCTCGACTAAAGGAACAAGGCCCTCTTGAGTCAATTGCCTAGAGGGACGTATCCTTCTCTAGAACAACTGATCAAGGCGTTCTGAACTAGACTCCCTCTATCGGAAGAGGTTCTCAATCGATACAAAGCAGTGAATCAACCCTCGACTAAAGCAATCGATCCACTACTATCAATCTATGGTGCTCTATTGACCTAATCAGGTATTCCCTCTCATAGAATCAAAGCAGAATCAATAATCTCGACTAAAGCAGAATTGAATCATGAAAACATGCATAGATTGAATATGAACTCAAGATTATCAAGTCAGAGTACTCATACAATCATTCAATCAAACAAACATAGCTAGGGTTCCTCAAAACCTAAGTGAAGGGAAGTTACTCCATAGAGAAGAAAGAGACTGCAGTAAGAATCTTCAGATGATCAGTCTTCAAGTCCGGGCTTGTTCCTCGAGCTTCCAAAGCGAAGAAATCCTCCAATTCCACTCTTAGAATGCCCTCAGATCGCCCTCTCTCTCTCTCTTTGGTTCGTCCCTTGAGTGTTTGGGATCCAAAACCCAGCTCTCTCCTTTCCTTTGGCTGAAAATCGGGTTTTAACCAGCAATTCCCGACTCACACGGGCAGGCCGCACGGCCGTGCAGTTCACCCAGTTGCCCGTGCGAGTCAAAACGCAGCGTATCGATTAGTTGAATTCCAGGCTTCTTACACGGCCAGAGTCGCACGGCCGTGCAGCTCACCTTGCACGGCCGTATGGATTTTCTGCTCTGCCCGTGTTTGCTCTCACACAATCCCACACGGCCAAACTGGTCCCTTGCACGGCCGTGTGGGTTGTGGGTGTGCCCGTGCGACTTCCTTTGTGACTTGCCTTGCGCCCGATCTTCGCCCAATCGACCCCGAACTCGCTCCTAAACCTTCATTCACTTGCCTGGACCTGAAATATCACAAACAAGCACAACCTAGCGTGAAATCGGTCTAAAACACGAGAAACCACATCTCAAACGGTGTAAGAACAGGGGTGAAAACATGTGTAATTAACGGTCTATCACCAGGGCACATTCATGCTCACTGTCCTCTCACCCTCAAAGCCAAAGAAAAAGCCATGATGGCTGATAACGATATAATTGCACATATTTGCGCCCCTAGTTCTTATCCGTTTGAGGGGCATAGTCGTGTACTTTTGGCCTATTTTACGCCGGGTTGTGCTATTTTGTCATATTTCAGGTCCCAGGCGTCAAAGGAAAGGCTAAGCACGAGTTTTGGGGCATTCGGAAGTCATTTCGGTGAGCTGGAGCCAAAACACGGGCAGACCCAAAGCATTACACGGCCGTGTACTGGTGGCCGTGCTTTTTATGCCGAGAGCTAATTGATTTGGCAAATTCAGCTGCAAACACGGGCTGAAAGCACGGCCATGTTCAGGCAAAGCATGGCCGTGCCCACCGCGAAACACGATCGTGTTTCTCCCAACTGCTGGCCGTGTAATTAACCCTGGCCGAGGCACGGGCGGGCTCAGGCAAAGCACGGCCGTGTCCTCGACCGTGCTTTAGCCACTGATGCCTTTTTAAGCAGATTTCCAGCCAAAGAGAAGGGGATTCGAGTTTTAGAGAGAGAGAGCGATTCCTAGAGAGAGAAAGCGACGAACAAGAGTCTCCAAGTGCCCTAGATTGATCTTCAACACCATTGGAGGCCAGTTTGAGCTTGGAGAAGTGTCGATCAACGTCCAGGAGCAGGAATCCATCCTTCACAGTATGAATTCCGCGTCTGATTCTGCTTTTGCTTCTTTCTCCATGGAGTAGTTCTCCCATTCATCTGGGTATGGAGAACCCTAGATTTGTATGTTAGGCTTTGATTGTATGAACCCAAGTACTGATTCTATGATTTGATTATATTTGATTGAGGTTTGAATGATTGAATGGCATGAATCCTGATCAAATTCCTGTTGTTTCTGCTTTAACCTAGAATGAGAATATCTGCCTAGGTTGATAGAGCATCCTTGATTGAAGGTAGGGAGTTGGTGACTTTAGTCGAGGAGCCAACTCACTATTCTGTACCGAATCTACTTCGGTAGTGGAGGTTTTGTTCATAGGGCCTCAATCTGTTTACTCCGGTGGAGGTTAGTCGCCCGCTAGAGACTCAGATTGAGAGGGTCTGAAGACCTTTAGTCAAGACTTCAGGCTGTTTAAGAACCTTCCGCAGTATAACTATCATAGAAACTGAACTTGGTAATTACAATCCGGCTTAACTGCAGTCTAGGGGGAACCATATCCGGGTGACCTCTTTAACCTGAATACAACAGTTTACTTGCTTTGTTTGTTTGGTAGTTTAGACTTGCATTCCAGTTTCATTGCTAGATAACAAGAACTCACTGAGTAGTCATCAGATCTAGGACCCGGGTTGATAATTAAACTCAAACCCGCTATACTACGCTTTAGGAAGTGGTTTCACTTGGACAATTCCTGGAGTGACAGTAGAAGTGAGTCAAGTTTTTGGCGCCGTTGCCGGGGACGACTAGGTTGTTGAAGAAAAGTGATTTCTGTTAATTTAGCTTTTCTTTTTGCTTTGTTTGCTTTGTCCCACTTGTGCCTTCACGGGTTTGCTTGCTTGAGTGTGTGCAGGTAGTGCATGACCCGTAGCCAGTCATGAGGTTTACTGCCGTTGAATCCAGAGATTGACCGCACCTGTCGCCAACTCAGGAGACAACAGAGAGCTAGACTGGCTACGGAAGAGCGCATAGACGGCCACCTGAGCAGCGATTCTGAGGAAGAGTACAGGATGGACGGAGAGTACAATCAACACCAAGGGAATCCTCAGCAGGCTCCCCCGGTGAATCAGGTCCTGGGGAACAACCCCATACCCCAGGATCATGGAGTTCATCATCCACCGCAGCCGGGTCTCACCTTGGAGTACTACTACACTCCTCGGATTGCTGACATCCGCCCGGTCATCCTCTACCCGCCTATTCCAGCAAACAACTTCGAGATCAAGCCATGCTGGGTTCAGCTCATCACATCCTCCATCCAGTTTCATGGCTTGAAGGATGAGGAGGCCAGGGTACATCTGTCCCGTTTTCTGCAGCTGACGAACGGATTCAAGCTGAATGGTGTCCCGGATGATACAATCCGCCTTCATCTCTTCCCCCATTCTCTGGCGGGGAATGCTAAGAGGTGGTTGGAGACCCAGCCCTCATTGTCCATCACCTCTTGGGACGATCTGGCTGACAAATTCGTGCACAGGTACTATCCGGCATCGAAGACTACAGAGATCCAGCGGGAGATCACTCACTTCCGCCAAGAGCCAGATGAGTCACTTCGTGATGCTTGGGAGCGGTACATGGGCTATTTCTGGCAGTGTCCCCATCATGGCTTCAGTGATGCATTCACAGTGGGGAACTTCTACAGGGCCCTCTCTCCAGATAGCCAGAGGGTGATTGAGTCTCTATGCCCAGGAGGGGATATTCTCACTAAGACTCCACCCGAGCTGAAACAGATGATCAGTACTTTGGCTGCCAGAGATCATTCTTGGGGACAGGGTAGCCGAGGCAGACAGTCCCGGGACCGTGGTGTGCACGCCATGGAGACCAGATCCGGGCTCGAGCAGCAGGTAGCTGAGCTAGTGCAGACATTGAAGCAGCCCAACAGTCTTATTCCGGGCAGAGGTTTGGCTACACCTCCAGTAGCTCAATGTCAGTGGTGCGAGAGCTTCAATCACCTAGTGGAGGACTGCCAGGCTATGAGGGAGTCTACCACACCCCACGAGCAGTTGGCCTTCGTCGCCAATGTGCGGCGCCTCGATCCATACAGTAACACATATAATGAGGGGTGGCGCCAGCATCCCAATTTCGCCTAGAGCAGCAACACCACTAAACCACCTGGTTTCCCAGCACCAGCAGGTGGTTTTCAGCAGAGGCAGCCCTTCCAGGCTCGCCAGGGGCCAGACCCACAGCAGCAGTCCTACCAGCCTAGGCAGGGGCAGCCATTCCAGCAGCCCCAGCGCCAGTTTGCCGAGCCACCAGCAGCCCCGGCCCCAGATGACAGGATGACGAAGCTGGAAAACATTCTAGCTTCGTTCATGACTAGCACTCAGGCTGCTATCACATCACTGGAGGCAGGTCAGCGGAACCAAGGTGCCATTTTGCAGGATCTGCAGACCCAGGTGGGCATCTTGGCCCGCCAAAACACTACCAGGGCACCGGGGACTCTGCCGGCCACCACTGTTCCGAATCCTCGAGATCCTCACCAGCATCAGCAGCTGGATGCCATTTTTACCAGGAGCGGTAAGACCATATCTGCTGATCCTGTCCCGGCCAGACAGGAGGAACCACTACCTACTTCAGCACTTCCAGCCGACGATGCAGAAGTGCGGGTGGAGAAGGAAGCCCCTGCTCCCAAGCCACAACCAGTGGTTAAGGAGCATGTACCTCAGCTTCCCTTCCCCACTCGCCTACACAAAGACAAGCTGGAGACTGAGTTTGCCAAGTTTATGGCAATGTTGAAGCAGCTCAACATCAGCATGCCGTTTGTGGAGGCACTGTCGAAGATGCCCAAGTACGCGAAGTTCATGAAAGATCTCTGCACCAACAAGAAGAAACTTGGGGATCTCTCGACAGTGTTGCTGAGCGAGGAGTGTTCTGCTATCCTGCAGAACAAGCTGCCCGAAAAGCGCAAGGATCCAGAGAGTTTTACTATCCCTCTTACTATTGGCAGCATGCATGTAGGCAAGTCCTTGGCGGACCTAGGCGCTAGCATAAACGTCATGCCATATAAGTTGTTTAAGAAGCTAGACTTAGGTGAACTTAGCCCTACTAGGATGAGCATTCAGCTCGCTGAACGTTCCATTGTGCATCCTAGGGGTGTCATAGAGGATCTGCTTGTTAATGTTGGTGCATTCACATATCCTGTTGATTTTGTTATTCTGGATGTAAATGAGGATGTGGATGTGCCTTTGATTCTGGGTAGACCATTTCTTGCCACCGCCAAGGCACTTATTGATGTGCATGATGGTAAACTGATCTTGCGTGCTGGGAATGAACATGCTACTTTTTCTGTGACTGAATTTGATCACTGTGCTATGATTGCTGTCACGCCTGTACATGCCATTTCTGATCGGATACACGAGCCTGTCGTGTATCCTTCTGCACCTCTTATTTTGCATGACCCTCCTATTATTCCTTCGCCGCCACTCCATCCAGCCTCACCTCCGAACAAAAAGCTCAAGGAGGAGTGGCGGCCGAAGCAGCAGGTTGCTAAGCCTGCACGGAAGAAGAGTGGAGACCACTATGAGCTGGTCCCACCTCCTGCACCACGACCGCCCTGGCCGTCTGGGTACTCACTCGCCTGCATCTTGCCAGATGATGTTTTATTGGGCTGACCATTGGACCTAACATATTGTGTTTGAGCTTTTTGGTTTCCTTTGGGTGTGCTTGTCTTGACTGGTACTCTCTCCAGTCCGCTTCCAGTCCCCTGCAGTCCGTGCATACGGGTAACATCGTTCCCCTTTTCCTTCCCTCTTCTCCATTGAGGGCAATGTCGATCTTAAGTGTGGGGGGTGTTTATCTTTGACTGCATTAGATCTGTTTGTGTGCTTGGAGCCTAGTCCACTGTCCAAATTTTTAAATTTGAGGGCTCCAAGTACGTGTTCCTTGCAATTGCCTGCTCCGTATGCTTTGAATTGACAGTCTTTATAGTAATGTGCAACCTAGGGAGGTAGTGTAGCACTATGGAGGATGTTGATGCATTTAAGAAGTCTCATTTCTTCTTCATATTGTGTTGGTTGATTGAGTGAATTAGTGATCTTAGGACCCTTGAATTGTGTGGTGTTGTGGATTTTCTACCTGTCATGGACTCTTGTATCATGTTTTGAGTTTAACAGGTGCTCGAAAATGTGCTTCAAAATAACGTCTCCCGTGCAAATAGGGCGAAAGTGTGTAAGGGGAGACGGGAATCCGTTCCCAATTTCCACCTACTACCTCCAGCCCCCTTACATGTCTTTCCCCCGCACGAGGCTCGAGACATCCGCTCCTGGCATGGCCGGTAAGAGCAGGTTGGGACCCTTGAAAGAAAAAAAATAACTGAAAACAAGCAAAACAGAAAGAAAAGGGGTTCCAACCATCTTCAAAAAGAAAATAGAGCACCTTGAAAAATGTGAGTCCATGATCCTTTGTTTTTGAGAATTTCTTCATCCACGATTCATTTGTCCTCTGTTCACTGTTCGCCAGGATGCCGACTC